ACGTCAGCTAAGGCAACTACTTGGCGCGTGATTGTCTGCTAAGGCTTTGCTTTGAAATTCTCAATTTCAAAAAGAAAATGTACTTTGTTAAAGTATTAAATAAAATCAACAAAGATTTATCAATAAAGTGTGCCTAAAGATAGGCTGTCCGTCTTTAATAATCCAATAATATTTTTAATGTTTAGAAGCTTTGACGGGATAAGTAAAATACATATTTATATATGTATGTACTTTCTTTTTCAATTATATTAGAATCGAATAATTAAATACATAAGCCTGGGCTGCAAAACAATTGCTAACAGAACCAATCCGGATTCAAACATATTTCTTATCATGAAAGCAGCCTTTACCTCAATCCGACCCGAAACATATTGTTGTTTTCAACAAAATTTACGTGAACAGACCCCAAGCATAAATAACTTGTGACCCAAACTTATACTTTGTCTACTCATGTTTGCTAGATGAGAATTTTTTAAGTTTAGAAAAAATATAGCACACTATAATATGTAGGGCTTGGGATAGTTAATAAAACTTAAAATCTATGAAACCCCAGGGTTCATGGATGTGGAAAACTAGGTTCAAGAACCGCATTTAAAGGCAGGAAGCTGGTTCGAAACTTTTACTTAGGCAGCTTTCAAGTGTGATTTACTAATTATTACTAACTATTAAAGATATTAAGATACACCTCAGCCTCAAACCCGAACAAAAGGTCGTAGATTCGGCTTACCAAAAATATCTTTAAACATTGCAAGTTTCATAAAAACTGACTAACTAAAACTTCTCGATATTCGAAATTCATCAAATTAATATTTCTATAAATATCAGAGACATTTTAATATTGCCCAAACTTACTTGTTGGGCAGCTCATCCAAAATATTAGCTCCTATATCGTCATTCGCTTACCAAGCAACAAGGGCAATACGTCGTCTTTGTTACTCAAGAGTCTCAGCAAGGCGTTCAAATTTAAGCCTGGCTGCTGGCTGGATGCTGGCAACTTGCAACTGGCTGCTGAGAGGAAATGCCGTTTCCTGGAAATGCGCTGAGCCAGGCTGAGCGTTAGGTGAGTCGCCACAGTCAGGAGCTTAAGAGCAGCCAGGAATCGTATGAGTAACTCTGTTGTTGTTGTTGTGGTTGTAGATCAGAGTGTGTGTGTTTGTGTGTGTGTTTGTGAATCACAGGAAACAGTTCCGAATAAGCACATGTGGATGTGAAAAAGTTGGGAAATTCGTTTACTGTTGTGAGAACGAAAGCGAAACAAGTGAAGCAAGCGAAACGCTGGAAAATGGTATAAGAGGCATAGACCTCTCTGGCAGTTGCCCCAAAACAGCCCTCGGCTAATTAGGCGGCTCGCATGAGTTGTGCGGGCGAGAGAATAGTAGGACGCCACAACGGCAACAACAGCAACAACAACAATGAAAAATTGCTTGTTTCCTGGGCAGAGCAATAAAATAGAGTCGAAACGTGAAAAAGAAAAAACAGTACAAACTTGTTCATCTTCAGCTAACGAGCCGCAAGGTGGGTGATGGGGCGGCGCAAGGTGGACAGGTAACAGCACAGATAAGTAAGTTGGAGAAGGCACTGGCAAGTGCAAGTGTAACAACAGCTGCTGGGGTGGGTGTAGGCCGGCCAAGACAATAAACAAATAAATTACATGAAAGCGGCTGCCATAGTTTTTTTTGTTTTTGTTTTTGTTGCAAGACAAATGTGCAACGCCGCAAACGAGCAGGCGAGAGGGGCTGGGCACGAAATGTGCAGCAATGTGGCATCCTCATTAACCCAGACTGCAAAAGAGTCTGCACTGCGCTATCTAACCCCTGTGTGGAGCTCCTGTATGCATCTCAGTGCTGAAAGTGAAAGTCATGGCGCAAATTGTGCTTGCAACACCAACCCGCCAACCCGCTAACCCGCCACCCCGTCCGCCGGTGGCTGCAACAATCCGACAAAGTCCAAAGTAATTGGCCAGTTGAGCTTATGGGTTAATTAAAACGCCAGCCACGCACTTTTTTCTCCACATCTTTAATGTCTCTATAAATCCATCGGCTATAACTCAATATGTATGTAAATATTTGTGCGACCGCAAAAGCCGCAACGCGTCGCGACGCATCCGTGAGATGCCTTTGAAATGTTTTCATTTGGGGATCGGAGCAGAGCAGAGCAGATCCGAGCCAAGTCGAGTTGAGTCGAGCAGCGTGCGATAGATTTGCATTGGTTTTTGATTTGCTTGGCGCACTTTTCACTTCCATCTTCCGCATCGGCTCAAGCACTGAGAAAGTATAGAAAGCTGCTCCCAATGAGATTCAATAAATTTGCCAAGCACTGGCAGCCACTTAAAGCTGATAGCTATATTTAAGTCCAGCCGACGAAAGGGGAGGCTGCAGCCAGCAGGCTGAGGCGATGGTGGCCAGTGGCCACTGGCAAGGCTTTTTACTGGGTCAATCGGGTGCTCATGTAGGAGGCCTCAGGTGTACGAGTTTATGTGTGTACGTGTGTGTGTGTGTGTGTGTGTGTGTTTCGAGAGGTGGGCAGCCAATTGGGTCAAATCAGTTGCCCAGCTCATTACGAAGCATTGATATACAGCTGCCGCTTCCGCTCCGGCTGCCACTTGAGGCAGCAACTCAAATTGAAATTTAATCAGCGACACTTGGCGACATGAGACGGAGACAATGCAAAAATAAAACACAGAAAATACAAAAAAAAAATAGTTTAAAAAAAACATATGAGTTGCCACTTGGACACTTGGCCACTTGGCCGCTTGGCTGCTTGGCTGCTTGGCTATTTGCCTGCCTGGCTGCTTGGCCTCGTCACGTGGGCATGACAGTTAACAAACCCTCCCAGACGACTCAATAAACTAGGCACTGGCCTATTGACAGAGCACACACACACACACACACACACACACGGCGCACAGATTGAGATTGTGCAATGGGTGGGCAAGAATCCGAGCCGGAGACCCAGCTGGTCTGGCCTGACAGACCTTGCCAAACGGTAAATGTTGTAGTCATTTCTGAGAGCGTGTGTTTGTGTGTGTGTGTGTTTGGGTGCAGGGGGTAGGGGGCTGCAGCTGGCCGCAGGGGTGGGCTGGCTAACATTACCATAGCCCACATAAGTACATATGGAGTGCTCGTATGAGATAGCTGCATTGACATGCTCTGAATACGGGCCGCTTATTGTAAATGCTGGTGCTGCTGTCATACCCTGTAAAGCATCATTACCATTAAGGGGTCTATGCTCTGAGCTTAAAAGTCAATAAGTCATGAGATGCACTTGGCTTTTAGCTAAGCAAAAGCAATTAGAATTGTTTCTGCCAGGCATAGGGTATCTTACAGTCGAGCCCAGCTTGTTGTGGCCGCAGCACTTGCAGCAGCCGTTGTTGCCGTTGGCTTGAGAATGGCTTTTTGATTTATTGGCTTGTTTTTGAGCTCAGTTTCGGCTGCGACTGAAACTGAATTATGCAACCGGCTATAAAATGCAGTCAACCAGCCAGCCAGGCGCTATAAATTCTCGAAATGCGTTTTTTGGCTCACTGATTTTTCCCACAATTTGCAAACAATAATGAAAACTGCTGCTGCCTAATTAAATCAAAAAAGCGCAACAAATAAAAGTAAAAACAACAAATACAAGAAATCGAAAGAAAAAAATTGCTGCATGCCACAAGTGGCCGGCCGGCAACGACCAACGACCGATAACAGCGGCAACAAAAATTGGCAGCAAAAAGGCAGCCAATTAAGGCCAATTTAGTTGCAGCAACGCCGTGCGGCGACACAAAAAATAATCAGTGGAAAAACGACGACGACAACAACTAAAACAATAACAACAGCAAATATGCACAACTCTGCATGCAAATGAGAGCAGAGCAACAACCAAAAGTAACTTGATACAACCAACAACAACAACAACAACAAGAACAACAACAAAGATAGCAAAAATTATGTATGCGCAGATATTTGTAAAAATTTTCTCGTATTTTTTTGTAAGACGTCTTTTTGCGGCCTGTGAGAAAAATGCAAAAAAGCATTCGGATTGTTGTTGTTGTCGTTCTCTTTGTAGCTGGCAACGTCATGCATGAGATTTTATGCATATACATAACGCGTGCGATAGGGAGAGCAAGAGATCAGAGTAAAGCTTTGATATCGATAACGTGCTGCTCGGCAATCGAGTGCAATCGAAGCGCTTTTGATTAATGTGACCAGGCGTTGACAACAGCAGCAGCAACAGCTACAAGTGTGTCAGCGTCAAGTGCAGTTGCCGCAGTGAAATCTTTGTAGTTGTTGTTGCTCGTTTCAATAACAATTGTTAAATGCGACTGCGCAGCGCCGCCGGCCCAAGGCGGAGCGCGGCTTTGAAGCTGGAAAAACCAACAACAACAACAACAGCAGCAATAACGGGTCTGTAACGAGCGGCGGCCTGAGATTTTTTTCTTATTTTATTTGTTTTTTTTTTTGGCATGTAAAAAACCTCGCGCTGTGCCCATTAAGCTTTAACTGAGACCTGCGGCCGGCAAGTGCCCGTGGATGACCTTTTCGTTTTAATTCCAATTCTGATTGTTTCTTTTGTTGTTGCTGCTGTTGTTGTGGTTTTTGGTGTGTGCGCGCAGAGCCGCATCTAATTGTTAATGCAATCAGTTTAAAAACTCAAGTGTTCCAAGGCGCGGGTCACGCACTGTTGGTGCTAACAGGCGGATAGACATAATCTTCATAACAAAATGAACAATCAATTTGAGCAGGGCTCAAACACACACACACGCACACCCACGCAGCCAGTGAAGTTGCCAGACGCTGTCATTTCTGCAGGTGGCAAAGCTCCAACTCCCAACCCGTTTTGGTTAGGTAGCCCCTGATGCCGCTGCTGCTGCACAAGAAGCAGAAACATTCGCACACACTTGTTCACTTTCTTCTTCAGCTTCTACTGCGTGTGTGTGTGTGTGTATGTGCGTGAGCCTGTGCAATAGCATCCCGACAACAAGCTGAAAGTAACTGTAACTCGTTGCAACTTTAGCTTACCTGTCCAGCGAATTAGCGATATGGCCGTATATATGTGTCGCTTTCAATTGCAATTGCCGTCATAGTCGAACTTTAGCCCTGTCTCACACGCACACACGGCACAAACACGAAAGCGCGCGCGACGCGAACGCATCAAAAAAACACTTGCACAAATATTGGTACTTTAAAATAATGTCAAGACAGATGCCGTACGAAGCGCAGCGTGTTCTATGCAAAATGTATGCGGCGCGCGGTCAAATGCAGCGCCAAACGAAAGCAACAACAAAATGCAAAGCGAGCGCACGTCGTGTGCTCTTTGAAAGAGACGGTTACAGTTATAAAATGCAGTAGATACATCTGTAAACTCCAATGTTAAACTCACAATGGCAATTTTAAAGTGCTTACGTTACTTGGTATTTTTTAGTGTATACTCATGGGCTTGCCAGACTCATAATTTACAGACAATTGAAACTATTTCTCAACAATATTTGTAAAACAATACAATAGAAAACAAACCAAAAACTTACTTATTTATAAAGCTATTTACCAGTTTGTTGTCAACTTTTCCACCAGCTGAAATAGCAACCGAATTGGCGTTACCTTGTAAACCTTCCTTCTGTTGCTCGTGTACTAGCTCTGTCAAATCAAAAGTTGACTGTTATTTAGCAGTGTGGCAACGCCAATATACTTGGATTTTGCGTCGGCGCATAACGTTCATTTTGGTGTGTGCTTTATCTTTCGTAGCAGAAATTTTTTCAGCTCACAGTGAAATTGAACCTAAAATATGTTAAAGTCGGAGGTACAGCACCAATACTGGATAACCAAGAAGGTCGTCCAGCGCAAGCTGGGCAGCAAAGAGGACAAGCACATAATATCCTCAGACGCTGAGCTAGACGCCAAAATCGAGGTGTTCAAATCGATTAGTGACACCAGCACGGAACTATGCAAAATCATTGACCAATACCAGGAGCGCCTGTGCATATTGTCGCAGGAGGAGTGCGTGTTTGGGCGTTTTCTCAAGGAGGCGGGTAAACGCAGCAAAACGACGGGCGGCAGCATCACGAACACGGGCAAGGCCATGTCCTTTGCAGGACAGCAGCGAATGTGCGTCCGTGTTCCGCTATTGCGCCTGCAGCACGAGGTGGACGTGTATCGGTGTCGCGCTGTTAAGGACACGGAGCTAACGTTACAGACCATGGAAAAGGAGCGCACCGAATACCGCGCTGCGTTGTCCTGGATGAAGAGCACGGCCAGCCAGGACATGGACCCCGATACTGGCAAGGGTCTGGACAAATTTCGCACCGCTCAGGCTCATGTGCGCGCCGCCAAGCATAACTTTGACGGCTACTCCATGGACTCCATACAAAAGGTGCCTTGATTTCCTGAAGAGCTAACTTAGTTTTCCTACTGAACTACGCCCTTTCCACACAGATTGATCTGCTGGCCGCTGCACGCTGTAATATGTATTCACATGCCTTGGTCGCCTATTTGGCTGAACTGAAGAACTTTGCCCAAAAAGCTGCCTCCACCTTTCAGACCATTTCCAATGCGCTGGTGGTGAAGCCCAAGTACGACTTTTGTGTGCTCAAGGAACTGTCCCAAAACGAGGGCGCCGATGCCCCGGATACAGTGCCCATTGAGGCAGTCGACAAAGATCAATCTTTATTCTTTGCGGTATTTTGCTAAACTATAATAATAAGACTTTATGCAAACTGTATTATTTGTCTTTTTGTTTGCAGGAAGAATACCAAGACAAGCCAAAGTCCGAGCCGCAGCCGCCCACAGAAGACACGCCCGCGCCGCCTAATGCCTGCGGTGACAACGAAACGTTGCTCATTGAGCTGTCCAAGCAGCTGGAGGAAAGTCCGCTTATTGAGGCGCCGCTTCTCGAGACCCCGTTGTTGGACACCAGCAGCAATAATAAATTCTGGGCGCGCATGTTTACACAGCAACAGGCGCCCACGCCGAGCACCATGTCGCCCGTTGCTGCGGCTCCGCCCAAAACGAACAACAAACAGAGCCAGCAGAGCAACAGCAGCTCCAACGCCAATCCCTGGTTGGAACTATTTGCCGACCTGGATCCGCTGGCTAATCCGCAGGCATTTGATCTGAAATTAAGCGGCGGACGACGCGTTGCAGAGCAGACATAAAACTGGACATTTGCGTGGAAAGACTTGAGGTTTCCCGGACGCAGCATCTACAGCAGAAAAAAATACGACGGATATCGATTTGTCGGTCTATCGTTAGTATTAATAGTTTAATTTTTCTGTCACTATCGATAGTTTTGGCTTTTTCACTGTCGATAGCTTTAGCTTTTTCACATGAAATGAGTTTGTCAATAAAGTACATTATTCTTTATTCAAAATCATTTCCGTGGAGACATGCAGCATAAAGCATAAAAAACTAAATTTTTTTCATGTTCAAGTGGAAAAACAGAACTTGAGCACAACTATCGATGGCGGTCATATCGATTGATGAAATATCGATAGCTTTCCGGGTTTGAAATGCAAAAAATCGGTTGAATGTAACTTTTCGCTAAACGTTCAAACTTTTTAAGGTTTATTTATTTAAATAAAATGTATATTGGACACAGCAGCTAGGGCAGAGGAGGGAAAGATTAGCAGTTGTTGTGGTATCACTCATTTGACAGCCGCCTGCGCTTCCTTCTTGGAGTTGACCAGCTCGACGAGCTCCTTGACGCGACGCAAGCAATCCTTTTTACTGCGATTCGGTATACAGGCAGCAATGCAGTCCCAGCGATCGGGCGTTGTTGTCGGGTACGTTTTAATTGCCTGCTCCAGCAAAGCCTGCTCCTCCTTTGTCCAAGTCTTCGATGCAACGCCATTGGTGGTCGGTGCGGGTGTGGCAGCTGGAGCCGTCATAGCATTGCCATTTTGCTTGGGCTCCGGCTGCTGCTGCTGTTGTTGTTGCTGCTGCTGCTGCAGATTGCCCACATGATCGCCACCATTCTGTTTTACATTCTCCTTACTCTCCGCCGGGGATTCGCCGAACGTGATGTCGTTCGTTATTTGGACCTCCTTCTTTGATTTCTCGAAACTCTGGAAGGCCGCTTCATTGGCCTGCGTCTTAAGCGTGCTCTTCGAGTGGTCACTGTTCTGCAGTGCCTTTGCCTTGTTCAGCACATCGCGAGCAGTCACCTGACCAGAACCTGCACTACAATGCTGATTGATATACGTGGCGATGACATCCCAGCGCTGTGCGGTGCCAGCGGGAAACAGATTTACCGCCTTGATCAGCAGCTGCACATTCTCATTGCTCCAAAGTTCACCTTTTTTCACCTCCTTAACGACCGGTTTTGGCGTGTTGTTCGCCTGTTTCTTTTGCTGCGCCATGTTGAGCTCCTCCAGCTCAGCGGCGATCTTTTGCTCGGCTGTATGCAGCGCAGCAACAAAGGATTCTCTGCCCTTTGTTTCCATAGCCTTGTTGAGAGCTTGCAGCTCCGACAAACTGAATGTTTCGCATATCTTTTCGGTACCCTCCATGTGCTTCAGTTGATCCTTGTCGTTTTTGGCATAGTACTTGCAATCCTTTACCTTGTCGCGCAACGTTTTGCGCTCCTTTTTCAGCACCTTCTTTTGCTGCTCGCGCTCAATGCGTATCTGCTCGATGCGTTTCTGTTCGGCCTTATCAGCCTTCTCTTTGGCCAGCGCCGCTTCGCGCACCGCTCGCTCCTGTTCGGCCTTTTGGGCCTGAGCAGCATCCATTTTGGCTCGCTTAGCTGCCGCCTTGCGATCCTTCTCCTCTTGCTTGAACCTTTGGATCCGTTTGTCATTGTTGTAAGCCAAATCGACCAGAGCACGAATGCGGGTCATTTCTTCCTTTTTACGCTTAATGCGCGCCACTTTGTTCTCCTTTTCGATCCAACGACGCTCGTCGCGATCCTGACCCTTCTCCTTGTCCTCCTCATCCAGGTAGCTGAACTCGCGCCATGACTTGAAATCGTACCAGAAATTGTAAAAACGTTCCACCTCCTCACGTTTGGCGTCCACCTCGCCAAATGGCGGCACGTTTGACTTTTCGCTCCAGCGCGCATTCAAATTAAAATACTTATTAAACGAGTCAAAGAAGTTACTCTCAATATCTGTCTGCGTGGGAAAAGCGTCGTCAAACTCGGGATCTACTGAGTCGTAGCTCCGGCGCGTCTTTGAAGTGCCTGCAATAAAGATTTATAAGTTTGGATATCAAACATATGGGCAGCAAATAAATTCCAATCTATTCGCTGTTGTGATCTTAGAATTTAATCGATTAATTTGATTAAGTGTAAAGGCTGAAGCTGACGTAAGAATTGTTTTAAGATATTAACAAGCAAATAGAGAATTCTGACGTAACATGAACTAACAAGAACAGTTATCCGAAGCTGAAATACCCTAGCTAGCAAAAACCTGATTTGTGATCAATTTTCAGGCGATTGTTCTATGGCTGATGTATTATTCATTATTCATAAATATATAGCTTTAAAACTGGACGGGCATGGTTCATCTGTTCAGACCGTTATAAGTATCTGCAATATTTGAGACTTTAAATTAATAATTGTAGTCGTCATATATTTAGGTTTTTATCTACAAGCCACAATATGATAGAAAATGTCACAAATTTCAATAGTATTAACCGAGATACAAAAAAATTGTGTTTCAGAATAAACGCTTTCGATCTACTGATCCGCTCTCTTTGTTATGTTAGCCAGTAAAACTTTCTCGAAAACACGTCACAAAAAGTGATTAATAGTAATAACTAAGAAGTGAGCTTAAATTTGCAAATAATAGTGATTAAAATATACTATATCTTAATGTTCCAACCTTGAAGGAAAAAAAAATACAACTATCTAAAGGCATTTCGATATCGACTACCTACCGAGTATTTCGTAGGCCTTTGTTATGCATGTGAAGTAGTCGTCGTCGGTAATAACCTCCTCGCCTTTGGCTTTCCGCTTGTCCGGATGATGCAGCAGCACCATCCGTCTGTAGGCCCGCCGAATATCATCATCGCTGGCTTCGTATCTGTGTGTAAAAAACGCGCAGTTAATACACGTGCACTCGCACAAATGCACACATACAGGCGCACACATACAACACGCACACGCGCGCACACACAGAAAGATAAATAGAAACGCACCTCAATTTGCCAAGGCCGAGAACACTGTAGTGATCCTGATCCTTCCATTCCTTGGGATCAAGTGATTTGAGGTAGCTTATGTCGACATCCTCGCCAGCGCCCGCCAATTTCTCATCGGAATCGCTGCGCTCGACGCCGCTCGAATCGCCAATTTGGCGGCGTGCGTTAAAATATGCGCAACCAACGCGTTCGATTTTATGACGCGCTACCTTCAGCGCTGAGCACTCCAACTCTAGGCTGTTAGTCATTATTGGTGTGTGGGTGTGTGTTGTGTAGCAAATACTAATTGCTTCAAATTACATAAAGCACACTGCACTACCTCGAATTTTGTTTAGAAAACCCGAAAAGTGTGTAATTAATTCACTTCACTACCGCATGCTAGAGCTCAGTGTAGGCAAGCGACAAAAAAGGCATAGTTAAGTTCGATTGCCATTAAAATCGATAAGTACAAGGCTGAAAAGTCTTTTCCAACACCGATTTGGACGTCTGTCCACTGTGATAGCCTTATGTGGTGGCAATTCGATTGTTCAAATATAGAAACGAGCGACTCGAAACGAATCTTGTGATTTTTCGATGTTAAGAGAATCCAGACTTCAGGTAAACATTTTGTTTTCATCAACACATTTTTTTTTTCTTTTTGTGAGAAAATTAATGTCACGCTGCGTTTTTCTTTTATATTAAAACTGCTCAGGAAAACTTGCAATATTTTAATAATTCTAATTGAAGCATGTTTTTCGCAATGAAAAATTGCATATATAGCAATATCTGCAGACATACTGTAATATCTTGGCGTAGCTTTAGGTATCTTGAGAGATGTTTACAAACATAAACACGTAATTATTTGAGAACGGTTAGATGCGATATTTCCTTTTAAAAGAATGAAATTATCGATAACATTTCCAATAAAATTTCCACTCTTAGCGATTCGGGAGTGCCCCAGCGTTTTATATACATTAAGTAAATAAAAAATGCTGCTAAAAGAGAATCTCTGTCCAACATGAGCAAATCTCAGGAGAGGAGTACGAGCTCCGCTATCTCCACACCCAACAAGGCAGGCGACGACCTTCACAATGTTTCGGACACTTTTTACACCAGTCAGCGCAAAGGAAGCCACGTATTTCGAGTACGCCTGGACGCCACAGGATTCACCCTGCAACGCGAGTCGCCCAGCGGAGTCATCATCAAGGAGCAGACGGTTAAGATATGTGATATTGTTGGAGCACGCTGCATGCGCATGAAGAAGTCGCCACGCAACCTGGGTAGATGTGCCTGCGTCAATCCTGGCACTCCAGCAGGTGCGGCCAGTCGCAAGGGCGGCACGCCCAGCAAGTGCAGCCCCGCCAGCAAGGAGGAGAATGCATGCGATGTGGGCGATGGCAGCGCCTATTTGTATTTGTTTGCCTACGTTCTCAAAAAGAAAAGCTTGCGTAGCAGCCTGCACAGGGAGAGGACTGTGCTGACTCTGCGCTTTCGTTCCTTTGACACATTTGAGGATAACATGCGTGAGGCGGATCGCTGGTATCGCGCTCTGCGCTGGCAGCTGAATCAAACACTAGAGGACATATTTGTGGAGCGTATAGGTGAGGCTCGACGTCGCCGCGTCCTGGTGCTGCTCAATCCCAAGTCCGGGTCAGGAAATGCACGCGAGGTGTTCAACATGCATGTCGCACCCGTGCTCAACGAAGCCGAGATACCCTATGATCTGTATGCAACGAAGCATTCCAACTACGCAATCGAATTTATGAGCACTCGTCGCCTGGATGACTGGTGCACTATAATAGCCGTTGGCGGAGACGGACTTTTTCACGAGATAGTTAACGGACTGCTGCGCCGCGCAGATTGGGCCCAAGTCCTGGACAACATAGCATTGGCCATTATTCCTTGTGGCTCTGGCAATGGGCTGGCACGTTCCATAGCGCACGGCTATAAGTGAGTTGCTTCTTGAAGGCGATCCATATGCATATATACAGATTAAATAACTGATTCGAGCCTGTTTGCAGCGAACCATATTTCAGCAATCCTGTACTGGGTGCCGCTCTAACTGCCATCAGCGGTCGCAGCTCGCCCATGGATGCGGTGCGTGTGGAGCTACAAAATCGTGTTATGTTTTCGTTCCTCTCTATTGGTTGGGGCCTCATCTCGGACGTGGATATCGAGAGTGAGTGCATACGGATGTTTGGCTATCAACGCTTCACTATTTGGACGCTGTACCGCCTGGCCAACTTGCGGACTTACAATGGGAAAATCAGTTATCTTCTGGCGGATGAGACGCAGGAGCCACAGTCCATGCTGTTGCCGCAGTCGGAACAGTTGCGAAAGATGCAGTCCAGTCGCAGCTGCAATGTGCATATCGATAAGCTGTCCACTGCCAGCTGTCACCGTTCTTCGGAGTATTTGCCCCAAGAGTTCGAGGACGTCATCTCACTGGAAACGTCCATAAATCAGTCGTTTCGTTCGCGTTGCGACAGTTGGCTATCCGGCGGATCACGTCGCAGCTGCTATTATTCCATATCAGAGAGTGTTTATCACAGTTTGGCCGATGAAAGCGAATTTGCGGATCTGTCGGCTGCAGCTGCTACTGAATTGGAGCAGAACCAGCATAACTTCGGCCCAAGTAGCATCCTACCGTCGCTGAGCGAACCGTTGCCCGAGGCCGCCGGTTGGCTGGTCGAGGAGGGAGAATTTATCATGATGCATGCCGTTTATCAGACGCATCTCGGCGTGGATTGCCACTTTGCACCCAAAGCGCAATTGAACGATGGCAAAATATTTTTGGTATTAATACGCGGCGGCATTAGCCGTCCGCATCTGCTTAGCTTTTTATATAACATGAGCACCGGCACTCACCTGCCCGAGAAGAACAATGAATATGTGAAGGTGCTGCAGGTGCGTGCGTTCCGTTTGGAGCCGCACGACAATCACGGCATCATCACAGTGGATGGTGAGCAGATTGAATTTGGTCCACTCCAGGCGGAAATCCTGCCAGGCATTGCGCGCGTCATGATACCAAAATGAGGATTGGCCAAGGGAACGCATAGAATCTCAAGCAACGAGCGTACATTCGAGCAATAATTAATCACTAAAGAGAATCTCTGCATTTGTATATGTAGGTGTAGGAAATTCTGTTGTTAGGTTTGGCCCTGTCGGCAGATGCATGCAATATTGTGTAATTTTTATATTAATGCTGCAACAGATTTTGTAATTTTCTTGTTAACATTTATCATAATTATTGCAGTTATTAACAAAATATATATATCTATATATAAGAAAAACAAACTATTACGTGGTCAGGCTGAAATATCATCGACGTTGACAAGATAAAACCATTTTTTATTTAACGAGATAAACTTTTTGAGCATTTTTGTGTGACTTCCAAATAATGAGATTGCTCAAGGTTCTCTAAATTGGAATTCGGTTTGCATACGACGCGCTTATTAACTCCAACTGATTTTTGTATGGAAATATATAATATTGGGGATTTGAGACGAACCAACTCATAGCGTAGTTTGTATAATTACGCAATTAAAATTTTATTTTGTTTGGTAATTGCTTTGCTTTAAGATATAGACGGATTTTTGAGTTAGATTTGTTGATTTTACTTCTATTTAAATAACCAGACGATATTGACTGGATTACATTGCTGTGAGTTCGCTATTAAATTATTTTATTTATATATATGCTTTGGCTAATGCTGTGTCTTGTCTGGGCCAATAACTTTTAAGCTTGCCCTCGTATCGATTTTATTGGTTATTGCGCGAACCATAAAAATAAAGTACGGATCTAAATTGGGGGTTAATAGACTAAACAAAAGTAAGCTGATTATTTCCATTTGAAATGTAACAGCTGTTATTTGGAGAGCAATAGCAACCCTGCTAAATCACATATTATCGATAGCTTAATTGAAGCGCAGTAGAAAAAGTTTGTGAAAAAATAGTTTGTGTGGGAAAAAATTAGATAGCGCAGCAGATAAAGCGCTGGATCGTTGTGCATTCGCGAACAATTGAGTTCCTTATCCGTTTACATTTCCCAAGAACGAGAATCGATTTCCGACCAAAGCCACCGTTAATATAATAAGAGTAACAATATGTCAGCTGAAGAGCTGGCGCCAATCAACGAGCAGGACCTAAAGGACCTGAAAGAGCGCATGAAACTTATTGCTGACGCAGACCCAACTCAATATCACAATGAGTTCTCGTTGCGGCGTTATCTAAGGGCCTTCAAGACCACAGATGACGCATTCCAAGTGAGTCGTTTCCGTTTATGCGCCCACATCTTGACATTGACTATTTATACATATTAATATTGCCACCCACCCATATAGGCCATATTAAAGACGAACAAGTGGCGTGAGTCGTACGGCGTGGGCAAGCTTAATGAAATGGAGCGCAGCCACTTGGGGAACAAGGCGCGTCTGTTGCGGCATCGCGACTGCGTTGGTCGCCCTGTCATATACATTCCGGCCAAGAATCACAGTTCTTCGGCGCGCGATATTGATGAGCTGACGCGGTTCATTGTTTACAATCTGGAGGAGGCATGCAAAAAGTGTTTTGAGGAGGTCACAGATCGTCTGTGCATTGTCTTTGATCTGGCTGAGTTTAGCACTTCGTGCATGGACTATCAGCTGGTGCAGAATCTTATCTGGCTGCTCGGCAAACATTATCCAGAGCGATTGGGCGTTTGCCTAATTATAAATGCGCCTGGCATTTTCTCCACCATTTGGCCAGCCATTCGCATGCTGCTCGACGATAACACCGCCAAAAAGGTGAAGTTTGTCAGCAATGAGGTAGACCTATGTCAATATTTAATACCGGATATACTCCCAACGGATATGTAAAGAATTTCGCCGCTCTGTTTAAATTAGTTGTAGACAAACATATCTCCATACGAAGCACTATTGACATTATTACACTGCAGCGCGAGACAACGTGTACCTATTAGAAACCAGTACCTAATCAACTGTATTTAAAATCTGTGCAGGAGGCTTACGAAAGCTTTTACATAGTTTGTAGTCTACACATACATACTATTATTGTTTACAAATGAATGTCTTTAACTTGTAGTGTGGGTTGATTGTAATTGATTGTATTGTGCATATTATGAAATACTTTAGTCAAATATTTATCAATGCGTATTATTGCTTATATATAGAATATATATGTAAATGTATAAATGAGTAATCATGTTAATATATGTCTATGTGTATAATAAAGTTGTAAAACCAAAACGCATTATTGACAGTCGAACGTGTGTGCCACACGCTGATAGAGCGTTCTACATTTAGCACTTTATCTCATCAAGAATGATAACGATTCAAAAAACTGGAAAGGTGTTATTATAGGTCGCAATTGACACAAAATAAGCAAGCATTGATTACCGTTTTGAACGTTTATCACCTCAGCGCAAAAAATAGTGCTACCGGATCGCGAAAAGCAAATACCGCTAAATGTCTGGCAGCTCTCTATCGAAGACATTTCGGCTCAATTATTTAGAGAATTATGCAAAATTAAATTAAATTATGCAAAAACATGGGCATATAAAACAAATGTGTATGATAATGAGATTTGTTTCACATCTAATCTGAAATTGCAGCTATTAATGTTATTGAAAAATATAGCGTCACACTTTAATTTCAATACAAAAGTAAGTCCATGACGTCACATGCTTTCGTCGTATTTTAGTAGCTTGTTTGGTAAATTTCGGCACCTTCTCAATTATTTACCACGATGCATGGCACCAACTGGTTTAGTTTATTATCGAGAACTCGAGCAGTTGATAACGAATTGAAAGCAATATGAAACGACTGAACAACAGCAGCAACGCAAACTCAGTTTGCCAGAGATCGGCGTATAAATATTAGTAAAAAGCGAAGCGTGCGCCGAGCAGCAGCGGCAGCAGTAACATGACGGCAACAACGGCATCTCATATAGCTGCGTTGGACGTTGGGACGACGTACTTGAGATGCTTTGTGCTTGATGAGAACTGCACGGTCAAGGGGTCATCAGTAGATGCTGTAAGTTAATTGAGTGTTTCCGGGCATAGTTGAAGGTAATTAAAATGTGTGCTGTTCGCAGGTAGAGCTATTAAATCCGCAGCCGGGCTACTTTGAGATCGAGCCGGAGGGGTTGTGGCGCAAGATAATCAAGGTGATTACTGAATCAATACGCAGTAAGTGCTTAGTATTATTACATGACAAACTTGAATCGAATTCTAATCTCTAATCGTCGGCAGACGCTAGACTTACACCCGCGGATATTACATGTCTCACCATTTCGACACAACGCTGCACGTTCTTAACCTGGAATCACCAGACCAATGAGTACTACCACAACTTCATCACGTGGAAGGACTTGCGCGCCGATGCTCTCGTCGAGCAGTGGAATTCCAGCTGCTCGCTGCGTGCGATGAATGGATTTTTCTATGCTCTGTACATGCTAACCAGAAATGCTCGATTTCTGGCCGGGAGCGTGCTCAAATTAATGAATGGTCAGGTGACGCCGCGTCTGCTCTATGAGATTGCCCATAACAAACGGCTGCAGCAGGCGTTGCGCGAAAAAAAGGCGCGTCTGGACTTGCTTGATTCATGGATCCTGTACAAACTGCGCTCCGGTAATGGCTTGGATCCAGATGTAGAACATATAACTGATATAACCTCAAGCACTGCCACCGGTCTGTATGATCCATTCACACTAAGCTGGTCGCCACTCGCTCGCTGGATGTTTGGAATCGATGTAAGTGAGGCCACACATTTTGGCAATGAATTTCATTCTCTAATTTCTGATTTTAATAGCCTAGCATTCTGCCACGCGTCGTCGACAATAGCTACAAGAACTTTGGACATGTGCACCCCGCTGCGTTTGGCCCGAGTTGGGGCAATACAAAAATACCAATTGCTGCTTCGCTCAGCGACCAGACGGCGGCCATGTGGGGCTCCCAGTGCTTTGCAACGGGCAATGTTAAGGTCACCATGGGCACGGGTGCATTTCTAAATCTAGTGACTGGCTTGGAGTGCAAGGCTGTGATCAGCGGCATGTATCCACTGGTCGCTTGGCAGCTCACACACAAAAACAAGCAGCCCGATACAATCTACTGTATTGAGGGAGCCGCTCATGACTTTGGGACTGTGGTGACGTGGGCGCAATCCTGTGGCTTGTTCGAAACGCCCGCAGATACCGCAGATATTGCTCAATCTGTGCCAGACACAAATGATGTTTACTTTATGCCCGCATTTAGCGGCCTGGGCGTGAGTATAATGGGTTATCAACTCCGGCAACTGCTTTTGACTATATGAAATATTCCTTTAAAGCCTCCTGTGAATGACTATCGGGCTGCTAGTGGCTTTATTGGCATGACACCGTCCACAACCAAAGCGCATCTGGTGCGGGCGCTTCTGGAGAGCATCGTTTTTCGTGTGGTGCAGCTAATCGAGAGCGCTGAGAAGGAAACGGGTCAGAAACTAAAATTAATCAAGTAAGACACGAAGACACTCTAGGCATTAACTGCTTTGGCTGACATATGTTTCATCATCAGAGTGGACGGCGGTGTCTCGCGCAATGATTTCGTATGCCAGTTTCTGGCCGATGCCAGCGGTCTAGCCGTGGAGCGCGCCGAGTGCTCCGAGTCCAGCATAATGGGCGCCACTTTTCTAGCTGGTCTTAATCATGGCATTTGGCACACACTCGATGATCTCAAGCGTTTTCGCCATGTCGAGCGCATTTTCGAACCACAACCAAAGCTGTACGAGATAATTGCCAGCCGCATGCAGAAATGGAATAGAGCCATTGAACGCTTTAGTGGCTGGTACTAGGATATATTACAGGGATTCTTCACAGTAAGGTAATCAATTTATGTTTTCATTTGCAGTAGGGTATACAAATTGGGTGTGTTTTGTTTTCTTACATGATATAGTGTATTAAATTTGTTACATTTAAAACTATAAATTATTGTAAATGTAAAAGGGCTTTGTGAAATAGGTCTCCCAAGCGAAAAAGCCTTCAAGGATTCACTTGCAAAGCGACAACATAGTTTTCCCAAGGATTCCATTTAAAGGCTACTCCACTTGGAATACATTAAACAATAATGATTGGAGAAAACATTTCAGTCTCAGTTGAAGCGCTGCTGGAAACTTTGCTGCTGATTGAATATCATTTGTTGTTGCTGTTGTTGTTGCTGCTGCTGTTGCTGGTGATGGAAATCCTGTTGGTTGCCAGCGCCGGATAATCGGACGCGTTTAGCGTTCGGCTCATTGGGATTCATTTGCTGTTGTTGCTGCTGCTGCTGCTGTTGTTGTTGTTGCTGTTGCTGTTGTTGTTGCTGCTGCTGCTGCTGTTGTTGGCGTTTGTTATCGGACTTGTCCTCTTGGTCGTCATCAGTGAGGAACTCGCGCTTGGGATACGGTATGGGACAGCCCGCAAAAACGTCCTGTGTCGGCAGCGGCTCCTCCTGGAAATACTGATCTTGCATGGCTTGCTCGGAAGTTATGCGCTTGTTGGGATCCATCAACAGCAACTTTTGCAGCAGATGAAATGCTTTGCTGTCGGGCTTGATTTTGTGCCGCTCCATGTACTTGGCCAGCGAGCAGGCGGAATATGTGGAGCGCTTAAAGTCCTTGGTGAGCGTGTGGTGCTCGGGCATCTTTTTGATGTCTTCCCAGTCTTTGTCCTGCGGAAAACCCATCACATTAAATATGCGATCCAGTTGATCGTGATGGTACGGATTGCTGGTCTTAATGTCCTCCTGGCGACAGTGAAAGATTGGCTCAGACGTCAGCAGCTCCGCAAAGATGCAACCAATCGCCCAAATATCAATGGCCTTGGTGTAATGCCGCGCGCCCAGCAACAGCTCCGGCGCTCGATACCAAAATGTGACCACCACCGGATCCAAGTCGGCCAGCGGCTTTAAGGGAGCATTAAAGAGGCGCGCAAATCCCATATCGGCTATTTTGACACGCCCCCGCTCGTTGCCATCGCCCATAACAAGTATGTTGGCCGGCTTCAGATCGCGATGCAGCACCCAGTTGCTGTGCAGGTAATGAATGCCATCCAGAATCTGATATAAAAGACTCTTAACCATGCCCCGAGGCACGACCACCTGTTTCTTGGTGGCCTTGGCTGCACGATGGAATTTGATGATGTGCCACAGATCATGCTCCGCATAGTCAATCAGCAGGAACACCTTGCGGTCGTTGTGGGACAGAAACACTCGAATAAGCGTTATCACATTCTGATGTTTCAGCTCGCGCAGCAGCGCAATCTCTCGGCAAGCGGACATAGAGAGGCCGGTGCCGTCGATCTGCTTAAGCGCGTACTCCTTGCCATCGCTGCAAAAGTCAACGAATAAAATATACGACTGGCTGGGAGCAGCATAAATCTCTTACCTAGTCTCCTTCCACTTGGCCTTGTACACATGACCGTAGGTGCCGCGGCCAACCTTGCAGCCCTCGTAGTTAAACAGATCCTCCACCTTGGTTCGCTCCATTTGCGTTTTCATCTTAAAATCGTAATCCATTTTGTCGAAATACTTTGCATTTACTTACGCCGCTAACACAGCTGTTTACAAACAACATAAATTGCAATTTGATTAGAGATGTGCGATATTTACCTGCCAGCTTGAGTCAGTAGGCAACCGAAATAATAGTGACATTTCCAGTTGGTATATTAAAGTGCCAAACAGACATTTACTCTTGAAAATATAATATATATAAACACATTACTTTGTAATTAAGCTCTTTAAATTTACGTCCTAAATATTTTAACAACTAATTAAGCTGTAAGTGCGACTCCAATATTGCAGCAACTATCGTTTGTACTTTCGATATAAAATTAATATCGATAAGACAGCCATTAAATATCGATAAGACAGCTGTTATACGAAGCAACAGTCGATTACCTAGGCCATGATAAAACAACGTGAGTCCAAATAAATTCACAACGCGCAACGTTTAAACCTTTATTTAACGCAAAAGTTATGGCAAAGACAAAAAGAAATATTCGTGCAAAGGCCAAAAGTGCTGTGGGAGTTGCCAAACAGAAGACCCAGGAAGTGCAGGCAAAACTAAATAAGGCAGTGCGACAGGACAAATTGCTGCACAAGACCTTAACGCCCAAGAAGACAACAACAAAAAAGGAAAAGTCGGCACAGAAGCACACCAAATTACTTAAACGCTTTGTGGAGATAAAGAAGGAGCTCAAGGAAGAGCAGGCACGCAAGAATCGAGAGAAAACCAAGGTTATAGGCGACTTGAAACCCCTGCGCGATGCACTGCCCTCCCTGGGCGACATCTACAAGTTGGTGAAGAGTCAGAAAAAGGAAACGATCGAGCAGACCGCACTGACAGAGGCAGAACCGTTAAGTGCCAAGAAGAAGATAAAAAAGAAACGCAACGAAAATATCAGCAAAATACAGTCCTTCGAGAAACTGATCAAGGACAAGAAATTTAAACGGAATCCGCGCGAGGTGATTGCGAACCACCTTCGCAACAAGTATCAGGCAATGGAAGAGGAGGACGCGGAGTAGAAGCTAGCGAAATTAAACAATTGGAAAATATTGCCTTTACACTTTTATTGTATTTATTAAGAAGTATCATTAATATCTATGTATTTGCATTTCTTATTTATACATAGCTTTATCATTTAACGATGCGCATAAATTACATATTAGAATGTAAATTGTAATCAATATAAAATAGGAGGGAGTTAACAGAAAGCAGTTAAGAGAGTTTTCTTTAATATAAACTTTTTTAAAGGGGTTTCTGTTAAATAAAGCAAATGGAGAACTGTTTTTAGTATTCTTTTAAACTTTAGAATTTACAGCATAGATAATAATATAACCATTGAGCGTTATTAACTCTGTTAGTTTTGGATCAGCTTGGTGTTGTTTTTCTTACAGTGTATTTGCACAGAATTTAAATCCGTGTTATCAGTTTCCTATAGATATATGTATATGTTAGCATTATTTTTACGGCTTGATCTCAGAGTGTCCGGTTGAAATAATCGTATAAGTATATATTTTAACCGAACATTTAGAAAAACCAGCTTGTTTGTATTTGTTTATTCGAGTGAGATCAATAAAATATTTTATCATTTTTAAAGTCACACTACATAAATTCTCCACCTGCACTAACAGCAAAGATTAACATAGTTTTTGTTGAAATTATTGATGAATTAGTTCCCTCAAATGGCATTTCCGATGTACACGATACATACATATATATACCGTGTTTGTAGTATTTATTTATGATTAAATTAGCTGTTGTTTTGATTTGTACATTGAGCTATGTAATGTACATACATATGTTAGTAAATTTATGCATATGGCTCTGTATTAACGGCATTAAACGGGGTTAAACATAATCAGGGGGTGTCTCATCTACACTAATTAATGTCTGTCTTATAATTAAATATATCGCATCTTTCAATGTTTGTCTTCCCCAGCAAGTGTGGGACAATTTAACATTACATTATTTTGTTGCCAGCAATATAAAGCTTAAAACTCGACTAATATTAGGTTACAATTACAACCTACCGCGTTACAGTGCTTTCGTTTATCGTGATTGTTAGTATAAGGGGTAGGGTGGTTTTTTCTTGTTGAAAGTACATGTACATTTTAAGATAGAAAATATATATATGTATTAGCTATATCTATTTTTGCACATTTATGAGTTAGAAACAACATACTTAAACTATTTCCAAAATCTTTACTACTGCATATAACGAGCCCTTTACTTATTCAGCAGAAACATCAGTAAACTGTGAAGAGAAGTAGAGAATGAGATATAGCTTGAATTTGGGAGTTACATTACGCACCGGAAATTAATGCCCTTGTTTGCCAGCATGCGGTTGCATTCGCTAGAACCGGAACCGTTGCCATCCGGCAAGGGCAGCACATAGTAATCGCTCTCAGTGCTCTGAAATGAATGTAATTTGGAATGTTAGTTATGGGCAGGCTTGTAGAATAATTGGGCGGGCTGTTGTATTACCGTCTCTGTAAACTCGTGCTTATAGATCTGGGTGGAGACCTTCATGTCCGAGAAGGGACCCTTGAGTGCAAAGAAGTGTATGCTCATGGGCGTGCTGGTTTTCGTTTTCAGTATGAGCTGATAGGTAATGGTGCGATCATTCGATTGATGCGGATCGCGTTGGCTGTTGTTGATGCGCGCCTTGACCACCCACTGTTGGTTAAAAGCCGAAAAGCGAGCGGTCTCATAAAACAGCTTGTGAACATATTCATCTGTGCGATATGGTTTCATTTGCAGATCTGTAATGATCGATGATAAGTAAAAAGTGGAAATACATAGGAGTGGGCAACTTGCCATTAAATATGATTTTCTCGTAGCTCAGTAGATCAATCAATGTACTAAACATTTTCTTCTCCTCCTTGATCTTGACATCATGCGCCTCCAAGGCAGCCATTACCTCATAGCCAGATTTCTGCGGATGCAAACAGTTACGTTCGTGTTCGGTTGCTGTAAATGGTAACAAAATAATTATATGATAATATAAACATCGGTATAGACACTCACTCTCGTGATGAGGTCCACGCCACTGGCAGCCGATGCGATGATATTTGCATTTTGTGGGTCTCTCCTGGCACTCGTGCTGTTCGTGGCGTTCCAGCGATTTGTATGGAAACTCCTTGTTGCAAAACTGTGAATTACAATATGAGAAGTTAGCTTATATTGTACAAGGAATTTGCTATATTTAAAAAGAGTTCACCTGACATTCGCTGGGTAGCTCAGAAGCTGCCTTCTCTACGGCCAGATTACGGGATGCGGTGCTCTTTGATATTTCCACACGGCAATTGGGGCACGTGGCAATCTGATCACGTAGGCTGCATTAACGACATGATGAACGAGAAATGGAAAGAAAAAGATTTGTATTATTAGGTTGTTCAAGCACTTAACGGGCGTGTTTCGTCAAATCACAGTAAATAATTTTTCAAGTCGTTTAATTTGCGCTTTTGTGTTTCATACCGTCCGTCCGCCAGAAGGTGGGTGAAGCAGGCGGCGCACATCAGGTGACCCATTTGGCACTAGAATTAAAGAGAGCAGAGTGAAAACAAGAGAGGTTTTAGTGCGGGCGCATGTCAAGAGAATAATGCTAAGAGATTTATAAGTATATAGTATGTAGTAGAAACTAAATAAAAATGTGGAATAAAAATTAACCTGCAATTAAAGAAAAAAGAAGAAAAATTTGCTATTAGTCAAAATACGCTGTTTTGCAAAGTTGAAAGTAGTATGAGGAGCGTGTGTCAATGGTATAATTTAGGAGGAAAGTTATTGTGAAATGGGATTCGGAGTGGGGCTTTATTTTGTCTCTTTTGGTATGTGCTTGATCGAAATTTTCTGAAATGGATGGAGAGGCGGCTGTGTTTGGCTGGATGGTGATTGGTTCCTGTGGGTGGGGGGGGGTTCCTCAATTTTATATATTTGTTGAAATAAAAACGCTTGTTTTGTATTCAGTTTTGAATTTAACAATTTGCACTCGATGCAAACATTTATTGAAATCACTTTTTTCCATTTCATTTTCATATTTGTCTATTTGTACATTTCAATTATATATCAACAGTTTACAGTTACTGCCTTTAATGGTGTTTAATTACTTAGCAGTAAGAATTAATTACATTACTTGTGGCTGTGTTTATCGTGTGTGCTTACAAGAGTTAGCTAAGTAGGTAAAAGTATCGTTTTATGTAATTATTAAGTTGACTTAACTAAATTATTCGTTAGAGTGATAGAAATAGTTAGGATAGACAGAGAGAGAGAGAGAGAGAGAGAGAGAGAGATGTTAAAAGTCTACGGTTAAGCATAGTCTACGTTGGAGCCGTGAAAAAATAATAGGAAAAGAATTTATTTTAAATTTCGCATAATTTCATTATTTTTTTTAATTTTTTTTAATTTTTCATGTGCCAATTGTTATTTAAAATGTATGTGAAACGAATAATTCGGAAACAACTGATAAGACTGTAGTAGGAGTAGAGGATAGTGTTCCATTCAATTTCCGGGGATCAGTCGGAAAGAGAGAATCACAAGATATGACCGTAAAAGGTCAGGTCTGGCAGCCCCGCTGGTAAATTCCATTATAAGATTATTTTTGTATTGGCAAAGAATGCGGGCGACGAGAAGCGACGTTTTGTCAATTATCGTAACAAAGCGTGATAAAAACGCATTTTTAGGCTGCTGCCGTTGTCGTTCGCTCTTCTGCCTGCATTTTTGGAATTTCTATTTACGGATTGACATGTGCGATATGCCCAATGCAATACATATACATACATACACATTCAGATGTATGTAGATATCTTTCTATTCAAGAGATAAGAGCACGTTTGTTTTTTGTCTTTTATTTGGTTGTCAGGCTTCTCGGGCTATATCTGTTAATGTGTGTGTGTGAGTGGGACAACATTTTTGCTGCACCCCATCTCCTGTTCCTTTCCCATTTCCCATTCTCTCAAGTTGAATGAACTTCCAAATATTACTCCAGCATTAAGAATTAATCCAAACCAATCGCTATTTATGACCTACAGTAGGCGATAAGCAGCTGTGACAATTTTTTAAAACAAACCTCAAAAAGATGTTAAACTAGTTTTACTCATGACATATCCATTTATTGGTTAACTCTCTCTCTTCTTTTCCCTACCCGGGTATTCGCTCGCTCGCTCAACTTTTGCTCCCCTTTTTGACACGCTCGTGCGGCAGACATAACAAAACCCAGCTGATGATGTTTTGGTAGATATGCCTGCATATGTGTGTCTATGTATGTATGTAAGTAGCTCTGTCAACAGCATGAAAGCAGAAAGAGAACAGTGGCTGGTGGAGACGAGAGTGCGTCAACAACAATAAGAACGACAACGTAGCGTAGGTAAAAGGAAACGCACACATACGTTAGAGTTTACAGGTTTCAGGTATTGGCTCAAAAACTGGTAAAACAAGTTTGTCTTAGATTACAGGTCACTGCAAATAACAACAATAACAAACAACCTGTGCATTTACTAAATATTTGTATATGTATGTAATGCTGCCCTTGCATTCCCCTCAGCAGACATTCATACACACTTACTAATAATCATGCCAATTGATATAAAATAAATACGCGACAACTTACAAAGTGCGTAGTTTTTTTTTTCATTTTTCCTTGCCCACGAACAGCTGACTATTTTACGATACGCGCTGCGTGTGCGAGTGTGAGCAGGACAATACGAATGTCGAAAAAGGCACAGAGGAGAACAACAATTGCCAGCAAAAGAAAAACAATAACAGAGAGCGTGAATATGGTTAAACGAGAGTGAAAAAGAGCTTGTGTGTGTTTGCGTGTGAGTATTTATGCATGAATTACTTTTCAACAATATGGAAATGCAAAAACTAACCATTTAATTATCATTGGTATTGACTTTTTATTCTAAGATAATGAAATCATGAGAACAACGCACTCTACGTACATACATACATATGTATGCATGTTTTCTTGCTGGGTCAAAGCAATGACGCAGTTATATTTATGACTGTTTTCGTGTGTGTGTGTGTGTTTTCTGAGATGGGGGCCCAACAGCGAAAGAGAGAGAAACAAAATAAACCAGAGAGACATAGACAACGCAGCACTATTGAAAAAGGCGAAAAGGCTTAGAAAAGCAAGCGCAGAAATCAACAAGAATAAAGATACGTATGTATTTACGTATATGTACATACATATGTATGTATAAATTTGTTGAAAGCGTCTGTATATACATACTCATGTACAAAGTTGTTACGTAAGCGTGATTGTTTATAAATTGGCACAATTATTTATTAAATTGTCAAATAAAGCTGACGAATTAAGCAACCAAAATGACGAACGCCTGCATCAATGAATGATAGAAAAAATGCTTATGTGCTTATAGTATATGTGCGTTTATGTATATGTGCATATATGTGGCTTAAAGGCGAATTGAATGAAAGAGGAAATGGCAGACGGGCAGACAGACAATTAGCTTTTGAATGCCTATGTATGTTTGTATGTGTGAACAAAGCAAACAAATACTGACGTTGCGTTGTTAGCATTTTTTTTTTATTGTGGGCGGGGCTGGTAGAAACAACGGCGGCAATGGCGCCGCCGCGGAGGTCGCACGGGCAACGCAGCTAAAAATAGGCCACGAACAAAAAGAATACATAACGGCTTCTATTTCACAATATGTAAATAACGCATCTTTGCGATATACTATTCCTAGCATACAAACATATGTATGTATGTGTGTACATTTATTTATGCAAATATACAGATGTATGTATATTAATTTTTATGTTAAGAATTCGCCACACATACATTCATATGTATACAATTTATGACGCAACAGCGGAAAAACGCCAAGTATGCATGCAACTGTAAAAGAGTGTTACAGTAAATGTAACTGCGCAAATAGTAGTAAGGTGGGGGTCAGTGGGGTGAGCATGGAAATTGAGCAGGGTTGCTTTGGTCGCTCGCCTAAAACGCAATAAATGTGCAGCAGCATGGCGAGAACTGCATGCTATGTAACAGCAATGCGTGTGAGCGAGTGCGCTGTATATACATACTTACAAAAACGATCAATGGGTAAGCTGTAGGGAGGTAGGGGAACAAATGCAGCAAGTGCCTGGCATTGTCATTTTCAAGGCAAACGCAATGGGCATTTGCTAAAGTTACCATAGGCAAACAAAAAATACACCGTTTTTCTCGTTCCTTTTACTGTTCTGCTTTGGGACGCACGCTCTCGCTGTTACTGGCGAGTCCAGCTGTGTGCGCTGCGCTTAACAGGGCGGTTGCGGTGCGCGGTGAGGGAGTGGCTACTTACAGCTGAGTTTGCGATTGCTTTTGCTCGATTTGTTTTGTATACAGAGAAATGTCACAAATACACACACACGCACAAAGAGCACGTATTTACATACACACACAAATGCATGCTAATACATTTGCCTCTTTGTGCACATATATATTACATTTTTCGTTTTTTTTTTTAATTTAATCAAATCTGTTTTGCCTACTTGCATCAATTGTCTCACCTGATACATGGCCGTTTTGGGCAAATCCAAGCACACGGCACAGCAAAGCGCAGTCGAGATGCGATACGCAAGCTTCTCGTGCGTTCCGGATCCAGTTCCAGCTGGACCACCGCCCCCGCCGCCGGACATTCCCGACGAGGAGGAAGCCGCACTCGGATCAAGCATTTGCTTCTTAGCTGGAGGCTCACCGCTACTCTGCGTATCTAACGGTACGCCCAACGACATGCTACTACTGCCTCCCGCCGAAGATGTTGAGGCTTGTATTTGAATCTGCATGGTGGACACCTGGTTGTCGCCCAACATTGGCAATGTGGACGAGGGTGGCTGTTGCACCGCCGAACTTGAAGATTCTACGGTGGACATATTGTCGCTATGCTGGACTCTCTATTTATGTATTTTTCTTTGCTTCTCGCTTCGTCAATAATGTCAAATTCAGTCAATTTAAATAGCAGCAATCCCCTTACTCGCTCTCTCTTCTTCTTTAACAGACATGCATATACACACATACAGACTCATACAGCACCAGCAATGCACTGCACTTTTGTGATTTTTCTATTTACACAACTTTCTTTGCTCTCCACTTCCACTTTTTTGATTACAATTTCCGTCACACGTCCACTTGCTTTCAAAGTTACAGCTATAATGAAAATATGAGAAGAGGCGAGACAAAAGATGTCAGAGAAGTTTGACAAAACTTTAGCAGAATGTTAAAATAACAGAATTGTAGAAATACAGTGGCATCTGATTGTAAGACACATTTTAATTTTTAAAAGTGGTCAGGTAATTTTTGTGTGTTCTACATCGAGGACTTTGCCAGAATTTTAACAGAACTGTTTTATAAAATATGAACTATACGAACAAGTTTCTCAAATTAGAGATCGAAACTTATAACCAGGCATTTTCTAAAAAACAATTTCAAGCTCTATGTGCAGCCTGGTTCGAACCATGAACCTAACTACAAACAGTTTTATTTTGTTTATGTATTTTTCGTTTAGACTTGGGAATTTTTATGGCACTTAAAAAAGAAATTGCCTATTATTTTTCTTATTGACCCACAAATATTAGTATAAGGCCCAATTCCCTTTAAGATTCTAATACAACATTTTTTAGATTGCGGTAACAGTGAACGAATTACTGACATTTCAATATGTGTTCGCTTCTTATGCTACATTTCCCATACCCAATTGGTTTTTATGTTATCGCTGTTAAACTCAAATTGGTACTTTTAATGAAGCAAATAGAAAATGCTTGCAAACAGCTGTTCTTGTTTTGGTTTTATTTATTCATGTTTTTAATTTGATATTGATTGTTACAATGGGTAACATATGCCAACATACATGCAAGGCGGAGTGTTTTGTAACCTATTTTTATTAAAAAGACCAAAGCTCGTTTAATTTATAAACATAATTTTATTGCCTATAAAGTGCACTTATGTAATCTTGTATTTATAAGTAAGGCCGGTCCATGGGCGTCTTTTTGGCCTTCTTGTCACGTGCCCGAGGGAACCAACGGTGCTTTGTAGTATGTGTCAACCTCATTAGCTCCTGACGCGCCACCTCTGGAAGTTTGTTTTTAAATGCACTCATAGCCGTTTGCATCGCAGACTCCTTAATAACTTCGGATGTTTGGTTCTCGACAATCGATGGCAGCGGTTTTGTATGTTCGTAGGGGAACGGAGTGTCTGGATGCCAGGCAACAATTGTTTTTCCATTTCTGGTCACTGCCACACTGTCAACAAGGGTCTTTCCACCCACAGCGTTCTTATTTACAGCATTTTTTGGAAAATTTGTTGAAAATAAACGACAGGTAGTAAATAAACGTGCAGAAATCATTTTCACGAGTGTGACCAGACTATCAGAATAAAAAATCAGATTGAGAATTATCGACCACCCGCCGCAATCTATCGGACGACTTGCAACAGCTGTAAGCCTCGGCAATACAAAATACGCGCAAACAATTTTAATTAATTACACAAATTATTTTAAAAACAGATATATTGCGTACAAATATATCCCTACAACTTGCTCATGACTTTAAATGCCTTCTCCAACAGTGGAAGTAATGTACAATGCCAAATAATGTACCATGTTGGGGCAGCCTGATGCATCTGTCGTCAGTAAGTCTCTTGTTTATAGACAATTTTTAATAATAATTTGCTAATACGAAATGCAAAAAACAAGACTAAAGAAACGTCAAAAAGGACATCATTCACTTAAGAAGCAACTGCAGGTCAAACAAAGTGAGACTTGGGTCCCAAATCGCATTACATTGTAAGTGCTTACATCTTGACCATGACTTGGCAGAGTTTTTTATATTTATTCTTCACCAACATTTAGATCAAATATTTCCTGCCAGAAGGAAGGCAACGTATATTTTGAAAGTCGAAGTATGAGTGGTCGCGGCCGCAATGCACGCCGTTCGGCGGAAAAGGCAAAGAAGGAATTTATTGGCTTTGATGATCCACTCGGCATTGACATGAACATATCCGTGAAGGATGAAGTAATATGTCCTGACATGTTGCCAACGCAACACGATGATATATTCGGAATGGTAGACAGTCAACATTTGGTTGATGAACAGCAAAAAATGCAGCGTTTGTATCCCATGGACATGGGTCCAAATGAACATCACAATTTCAACGATCGTTTGAGCAGCCTCGAGCGCAAAGTGGATTTCCTGCTTAATATAAATACGAAAATATTAGCGCGAGTTGATAAAATATGTGAAAACATGAAGTCGGTGACAAAGCCAAACGATTTTCCCGTAAAGCATAAGGAAGCATTGGAAGCAATTGATCTGAAAATAGCGAATGATATGGAAAAATATGTGAGTAATATCTTTATTACTTTTATGTACTAAACAATTGTAACGTTGTTTAAAATTTATTTCACTTTTAGACAGAGCTATTTAAAAATCTGCTAAGTCCAAGTGGAATTGTTAAGAATATTGGTCGCATCATTGATCAGAAGCTGTTGATGGAGATGAACTACGGAGGACACAGTTCGAAAGCTGGCTTAAGCAGTTATATTAACCTGAACACAGCGTTATATGGTAAGTAATAAGTATTGCGTTTAATTTGAAAGTATTGTTTTATATGCAAATAAATACGCATTTCTACAGAGTCTCAGAGAACGGAAGGCTATACGTTTGATGATTATAGAAAGGATGCTCGCATGGCTTTTCAGAAAGCCAAAAATCGTGTCTATAAGGCCGTATCTGAGGCGAGAAAGCTGAAAAGATTAAACGGCGAAATCGCCGAGGGCAATAATCAAAATAATGACACGAATGAATGTAAAGAAAAAATGGAATGAAAAAATGGAATTGGTAATCATTATACATATGTAAGTGTTTAGTATTAATTAGCTTTATTAAAATGGAGGCACATTATTTCCATTTCGTATGTATATACATTTGATATATGTATGCATACGTTTTGTCCATAGTGAATTTTATGATCATAGAAACCTGATGTACATTTAGCTCTTACTGCTTTCTCTCAGTGTTTATGTTAGCTAACAGTCACATGAATCGATAGCTATCGTTTATCGAAAGGCCGCTGCTAAATAAAGCGCTAAATTTAAATTGTTTTGTGTGATTAAACACAGTGCTCAATTTAATGTAGCCTTAAAAGTGTCAATAGACGCAGCTTAAGTATCTTAAACAAATTGCTTCATTTTAAAGGGCAATCAGTATACAACTACAAGCTTGCATCCCTCTGAAATGCCTGTCAATGTGTCAAATATCAACATCCTTCGCCCACACAGCGTCAAGGTACTTGAAAATTTTGACTTTTCAGCTCTTTTGCAGCACGTTCAAAGCTGTTTTCCTTACTTGACGTCACTTGACTGCCGTCGTTGCCTTCCTTTAGCTTGCTGCTAATATTTTATTAAGTGCTTCAAATTTATTTTGAATAAACACAAATTGTCGCCTGGGCTGGCTCTGGGTCCTAGTCCTAGCATCCACTTGGGGCATCACTCAGGCTGCGGCTCGGTTTGTGCTTGTACAAAATATGCTGCCAATCTTACACTTCGCTTATCCTCCGCCTTTTAGCACCAATAAAGCAGCGGTATACATTGTTTGCCTGTGGCACAAATTTATTTATGTATTATTATTTTTTTTTTGGTCTACGTCCGTGTCAACAAGCCATCCAATGAGTCTCCGGGTAACCAGGGCAAATATAGATATGGTTTATTGGGGCAAAGTTATTAGGTATTTTGATTTTTATTTAATTTGCATTCTACAGCTCAATTAATTGGGCAGGCGAGGCGTATTAATAGCCTGCAGTTTTATCTAGTCATTGCCATAGCCGTGGGCTCGGATCGAGACAACAAAACAAATATCTGTCATTCGCATGCCGATGTTGTCGGTTATGAGCCATAAAAATGGCACACAAAACACACCGAATTGCCCGAAACAACGAAATGTCGAGAATACGTTGCGTATACGCACGGTTATCGCTCATACATACATTGCCATCGCAATTTATTATATATGGAAAAGCTTCGGGCAAAACTATGTCCATGCTCCACGCCCCCTTTGGCCATTCCGTAACGCCTTTCTGTGGATGTTGCCGGCCATAAAAGTCGGCACCATAGCTGCAAATTGTCCCCCATTTGTTTTGCCTGATAATGTCTCAATAAAATCTGTAAGGCAATCCGTAGGTGTTACTGTGTGCGTAGGTGTGTGGGTGTGTGTGTGTGTGTGTGTATGCGTGTGTGTGCTTTTTAGGTGTGTGTTATTACGAGTACGTCCGCTACTTACCTAAGCTCCGAGCATATATTGAGCCTCCGTAACCAAACTGTTTTGTAATTACCAAAGCTGTTAAATTTAACGTCCAGTGTCCCTTATGCCTTGTCTCTACTGTCCCCAAAGCGATGCAAATGTCCTTTATGCAATGCACTTTATGAGTCCTACAGCCAACTGGCTTTTAATTAAATAGTTTTCATTCGTTTATGATTGCAACACCAGTTGGCTTTAATTGTCATGCGGGAAAAAGCATAAAAAATTTAAAGAAAGCAAAAGAAAAGGAACATTTAATACCATTGCGCAACTATTTCGATATTTCACTGTGATTTCTTGTGGCTTCGTTTGAGTTAGTAGCAAAGCCAATTCTGGCTAAGATAAATATTTTTCCCAGTATTTTTTTTGTTTGCCATGATAATAACGATAATGAGTAAATTTGAATTCTCTTTTGAAAAACAGAACAGTTGTTTGTAAATAGCTTGGTTAACCCTCCCAGCTTCGCGGCACGTCTGGGATGGGGCGGGGCGGGGCGGGGCAGGTTCAGTGGTTGCCTCCTCTTGAGTCGGCGTGCTTTGCGTGCTTTGTCGAGCAACTTCATCGCTAATTGGTTGCTATGGCTTCCAGCCTGATGCGGTGGCGAACGTTAAATTTTGAATTTCTTCCCTAATGGAGGGCACTCTAAAGTCTTGCCTTTATTAAAGATATCTATAAGTAAATGTGACTGCAACAAGGAACCACATTTGTCAAGATTGCCGAAGGAGGAGAGATTGGCTTGTCGGAATACACCTATCGACTTGGCTGTTGATAAGAATTAAGAATATCTATATATATATATATATACTTAAAGGTAGGGAATGTCATTCTACATGTATAATGCATGTAGAATGACATTCACATTTCACAAAGTGACCAACTTAGTATACCCTTTGCTAGGGTATAGAAATCTCTGGTAAATTAGTTTGATGTTTGTTTAAATGCCCTAATTTGCCCATTATCAACAAATTAAGTCACATATCGTTTGAATTTCATTTATAAACAAACAAATTTGAAAATTTCCACTACCAACAATTATTTTCAAGTATCTAATTGATAATATTATAATTCTTTTAATTTGGCAATTCGAATTTAAATATGCAAAAGTAAACCCAGAGCGAATTAGGCATTCAGGCTAAATTGGAAATTAATTTGGGCATATTTTCAAAATTATTCTCGGTAAATGCGGTTGAATTGTTTAATGGTCAAAAGTTTAGTTCCGCCTCATTTGAAGTGGTCCATTGAAAATGTGTTAAAATTATATAGAAAATGATGTAATTGATTTTTGAAAATTTAGCGAGAACCAATTTGTTGAACAAAGCTGATTATAGCTGGTGCTTTTTTCTCTTCTTATAGTTCTATGATAGTTAGAATTTACATGAATATTTTCATTAAATTTGGCAGTCTCTCAAAAGCTAAAGCGACATTTGGAACAGCTTTTACTTTATGTCCGCATTTTTGCAAAGTTACCATCGACCGTCCGCTTGTCAAAGTTGTCCCCAAGCTTTGTTCTAGCTAATTATGCAGCCGAGTGTTAAACGTTTGCTGCATTTCATTTTCACATTGCCAGCTCTTTTTTTTTTAACAAATAAAGTTTTAATTGCCATGGTTTCTGATCAAAGCAACTTTTGATGCATTGCATAAATTAGGCTTTGCTAGTTTTCAATTATTCGCTAATGGAATCAACATTGCTTGGGCTACAAATGAACTGAAATGAAATGTTTGCCCAACGCCAGTCACGACATTTGTCTAGACAGTGCGAATTGCAGTTGGTTGTGGCACGGTGCGTATGATTAATTTTCGATAAAAGTTAAGTTATTTAGCTGGTTCGTAAAGTACGTGACTTCTTGTTTTGCTAGCATCGTTAATCGTAATATATAAATTTAAGCTAATCAATTTATGGCTTTGCTTGCCACAAATTGCCGAAAATCCCTTGGCGAACAGAGACCGAAATAAATACACGAACAAAACAACAAATTACAGATACGACGTCCAAGTTGTATCTTTTCAATTTCGATAAAGACTTGTGCCGATTTGCACGCCAAAGCCCCATTCAAATCAGACACATACTCCCCACATAGTCGTTATACTCAATCGAATGTGTGAAATTTCCTTTTCATAGCTGAATTAAATTCCAATGTGCACACACACACAAACCTACACAAACATGCACACATATGCCATGTGTATATACATATATATATATGTTATATATGCATATCATGTACAAACATATATAGTACGAATTTAAGCCACTCCAAAGGGCGCACAGTGGTTGATCTATGCATTTTGATCGGTTTGGCCTTGAATGTTATTGAATATAAGTTGCAGGTGCATCACCTAAACAGAGTAAATATAGTATACTAGTCATTAGAATATATCTTGTTATTTAATATTGCATATAGTTACAAACTATCAAACTGACTAAGGGGTCAATACTGCAGGCACACTTTAGACTGGGAATCGAATCCAAATTCTCGTTATGTAGCTGTCTAAATGCTAAAGCATATCTTATATGCATACAAAAAGATACAAATAATAATAAATAAAATATAAAAACTATTTAATTTATATGAATTAAATTTATTAATAATTGTTGCTGTGAGTTTTGCAGAGCTAGTCTCAACACAGATTTGTTGAGATCCATTTAATAAACGAGACTTGCTAACTCTACTTGATTTATTCATGGATTATATTGCTCTATTTTGTTTAAATACATTTAAAAATTAAGTTAAGTTAAGGTTAATGTCATACCAAATTTCATTAATATAAATGAATAAGATTAATTATTATTTTTTTAATTTAAGCAAAGACTTCTATCCGATTCTCATTTTTCATGCAATACGACCCTGTTTTTTATATGGTTCCAACTGAACTGGTTCAAATCCGTAATTCCTGCTTTTTAGCTCACTATGAACCATACCAAAAACTGTGCTAGTTTAATAAAGAGCAAACACAGTTAAAGCTAAAGCAAACTTTATTTCAAATAAAAAAAGAAATGGTTTGCTTAAAATATATATTAATTTTACAAATTTCAGACATTGGTCTGAAAATTATATATATATAAATTGACTGGTTCCATTGTAAATGTAACCCAACAACTTGTTCGCGAAACTTGTCCTAGGGCAAAACCTCAGTTCGAATCGCGAACTCTTTATTTATTTTTGGCTCAAATCCATAAATTTTTACCACTGTGCTTGTTTTTGCTTCGATTTTGTTTTGCGATGTCGTTCAATTTGAATGCCTTTCCCTTCTAATTTCCTTTATCGAATTTACGATTTGTTGGTCACGTCATCAACTCAGCTCACATATAACAACAATCCGAATATGTTTTCCATGTTAGTTTTTTTCTTGGAGTCGTCCTTTTTGTTCCCCCATTCTCATCTGTTTTTGTTATGCTCCATTATCCAAATAATTTTTGTATGCCAGTCGAACGATTTGTGTTTTATCGTCCGGCTGTTCGGGTTGACAAATTGCGCTTTATAAAAAGGAAAAACTGCTGCATAAATCGACAGAGGAACCCATAAAAAATGCTCCCAGCTATTGCCAAAAATGTCGATTGGAATGCTGTGGTGGCCCATAACCTTTGCCAGCCTTGGCATTGACGCAGTTCCGTTCGGCCCACGCACCGCTGGCATTTCAGAAGTGCAGCTGCAGTTGCAACCATCCCACACACACACACACACACACGCACACACACCAGCGCCAACCTGGCTGTGGAAACGGAAGGAAAAACTGAATGGCAAAGAAGACAGTAGCCAAGTTTATTTCGTTAAATTGCGGACCCACAAGAGTTTGGCGTAAACACAGAATAATACAAACTTGACTGGTAATACCCAGCAACAAAAACAATAATGTCGCACACCCAACTCGTTGCCAGCCATGTAAATGGTCACGTATTATGTGAAAAAGTGTGTGTGCGTGTGTGTGTGTGTAGGGGCTTGGGGTGTATGCGAAATCAGTGCACTTTATAAGCAGTTGTAGTTAGTGTTAAAGCTAAGGAAGTTTGCGTCATGTAAACCGAATGATTGTTACAAACTATTATCATGAAACGACAGCATGCATAATGAGATATCATAAAAGTAAACATAAGGAAACTTCAAACGATGCCTACAACATTTATACGTGTTGTGCCTATAATTCTCAAACGGTTTAAGCACAATTTGCTAGTTGTGTACATGCAAAACGTGGCCAGTGGGTTAAATGACTTGAATTAACTGTTACAGAACGCGTATATACCCATTATTTTTAATAAACATGCGCGTGTTTTTTGTAATGTATATGAAAATCAGTTAATATTTTATATTTTTCTACATTTATATATTATTTTGCGTGCTACCATTTTATTTTAAAATTGTTCCCTAGTTCCCTCGCCTAGCCTTCAAGAATTTAGTCACATCTCAGTCACAACAAACCAATAACTGAGAAGACTCTTTTCGCTTGATATAAGCTGTTATAAGCTGTCGTGGTTAGTTTAGTACGCTCGGGCACTACACATTCTCGCTTCAAGCTTACTCGTTGGCAAGTGCTTGGTTGATTTCCCATTGAAATTGATTTCATAGCCACTCGAATGAATTGAGTCATATCAAGAACATGAAGTGCGCTCACGTTTCCATCGCTAGAAAAATTTGTTGCTCAACTTCTTCGACAATGCAACAAAAAGTGGTCATAATCCAGCGGAAATACACAGCAATGCAACCACAAACTCACTTACTTACTTACTTTTATTATACCCTGTACCAATTAAAAATGATTTGGGGAATTTTGGTTTTGAGCAGACGTGTGTAACAAATAGAAATATAGATGTAGGAATGCCTTGATCTTATAAACTAAAATATTAGAGACTTGATATATATATTTTCGTATTTTATATGCCGAAAAACTCTTGCGCTTTGGTAAATACAATCCTTTGTATGCCATATTTAAACGCTGAAAATTTCATAAAGATCGGACTACAAAGACCGAAGTTAATCAAGAACTCATTTATTATAGCGTAGGGTTAAGGGAAGAGGAAGCATAGCCGCAGCGCGGTAACTGCGCAGCAAACGGCATGCAAGCTTGCTCTCGTTGGTATGTGTGCGTGTTTGTGTGTGCGTATGTATAAGTATGTGAGGAAGCTAGAATGTTTGTAACGGCAGTTCGGCGGGTGGGTTCATGGTGCCCCCATTCTTACATATTTTTATTATACTCTGCT